AGAAATACATAGCTATCTGCTAGCACAAATAGGTGAAAAGTTACACTCATTTGAAAAAATGACCAAAATGTCCAACTTTGACCCCCTCTAAGTCCGGCAGTTCTTGACCGATAGAGCTGAAAATTTATGTCTGACCTACTATCCAATAGTACTAACCTTAGTACACTGGATATGAAATTTCCCATATGTATGTTTACTTTACTTTGTACTTACATATGTATGTAATTCGTTAAATAGCGAATTATAGTTTAATAGCTTTTGGAATGCAACTGTTTAGAACGATTTTTTATTTATACGGAAAACACTATGGGAGATGAAAAGTATATTATAAAAATTAACATTTGTTTTGCAGATATATTTTGGTTTATGGATAGATCTAAAATGTAGTTACGCCTTTTTGCATTTACGGCAATTTTATATGAGTATAATTTATTTTAACAATATCTAACTGCAAATAATTGTCTGTAAATTATATTGACCATATATTAGGGTGCCTTTGGCAGATGTATGTGCGATATTTGGATGTATTATTCTTAAGTTACCTTTGTGAGACATTTTTTTGGAGAAATGGGATAAAAGGTGTATTTAAATGAACATTTTTAAGAACCGTCTATTGAAACATACTAAATGGAGGCACCCTAGTACTCATAGGTTTGTATTTATTAGTGTGTATAATAAATTAAATACATTTCTGTTAATAACGCGCTATAACTATTACTACATGTTTCTATGTCAATGTGTTTTAAAGGGTATTCATACTGGTTTAAATGTACATATATTGTCTTGCTAACATCACGCAATATAATTAAGTGTGCAATAATTGGTTTACTTGTTGCCAAAAGTGTAATATATTATATTTTTAAATCAAACTAATTTAATAACGTATTTTATTTTATTAGACTTACAATATCAAGAATAGATCTAGAACTAGAAATTACGTTTAATAATAAAAATCCCTATAAGAGTTGTCCGGCCTTTGACTCCAGAGCCAAAAGTGTTATCCAATTCACAATAGGTGTGATTAGTTTTTAGCATTATTTTAATGCTTTACTTTAGCTAACTTTTTTAAATCTGGTATACAGTGTCATTATTACCATATTAATGACAAATAAAATAATTGTAGTTTTATGTTTGTACATACTTATAATTATTTTGTATAGTATATAGGTATTTCCGAAAAAATACATGCATTGACAATTATCATTGTAATTGCTGACATGCAAATAAATACTTGTGAAATTTGTATACATGCAAATCGAAACAAAACAACAATAAATTCTTGAAATACACCTCTTTTTAAAAACAAAATAAAGAAATATTAAAGAGGGTTGATTTTGATATTGAAAGGAAATAAACTTTCGCCACTAAAGCCTCTTGTATTACTACAACCCAGATACACTGTGCAAAAGAATATTTATAAAGAGTTTTAGCTTTAAATGGTTTTTAAGAGATAATAAATGCGTGTGGTTAGATGTCTGTTTTAAGCCCCCTTCACACGAGCACACAAGTAATATGATCTGTCAAAATTTTGTGTAGAAGAGAACGGATGGGATCGTCTAAATGCAATATGTAATGAAACCATCACACATTGAGAGAAAATACGGATGGAAAATTTGACAGTCGTATGGCTCTCTTCATTTTTTGAAATGATTCAAAAAACAAGCAAGTCGCATTAGATCAGGGATGTATTTTTATGTAAACACATACAAAAAAAGTGAAACAGCTGTTCCATCTTACTTTGTTATTGTTTTATACCAATCGTGTAAATACAAAAAATATAAATCATACGACTTTTATTCTCTTTTTTGTCATACACACTGTTGCCAACTTTTTTCCCAAAAATATCGCTAAAGTCGACTGAAAAATAGCTAGAAAATAGCTAAATTCAAGACATTTTGAAAAATTTAGCGATAAATCGTCAAAATAATATTTATTATATGATTCTGAAAAGAAATAGCTAAAAATACTAGCTAAATTTTTCAGATTTTTTATATTATTCTAAAAAGTCAGCGATTTATCGCTAAAATCTATATACATACGTAGGAATGGGATAGTGATACAAACACATCTTATAACAAACACATAAAAGAATCTTTTTTTATGTTAAATATTTTCACTTTGGGTTAGGAAAAATGTCAAGTTGAGGCTAATTTCGATATGCGACTCTATACAGATTGCTTTAGAAATATTGTAAAGATAAATTGAATTTCGAAATGCTGGCCTTTATGGATCGATCCTTTATTTTCGGCATAAGAGTATTATTTATTTTTCCATTACAATACAATTACAAATTATATTCTAACCTAATTTACCGAGCAGGGTGACGATAACCATACGACCGTTGTAGTGTAGCAGACCAGGATCTCTGCTGGGAATCGAACCCACAACCACCAGACTGACAGGCTAGCACACTACCAACTAGCCTACCGGGGCACCCAATATTATTATTATACACTCCTTTTGTGGGAAGTTTATCTGCAATATCGATATGCGGACCTATACGCCTTAGAAATGTTGTAAATTTTTAAGACTTTATGGATCGATCCTTTCGTCACTTCCAATGTTCACTAATTTTTAGAATTATGGTAAATTTTATTATCATATCACTCATTTACTAAAAGACTAGAATAATTAAATATTCGTTTTTTAATTGAGTACAACAAAATATACCCCTTTTAAAGTTTTTCGTATAACTTTACCTGTACGCACAAATATTTGCTCCTAATTATGTTCTTCAGAACATTCAAAACAAGTATAATACACACAGCTAAAACTCAAATAATTTACATTGAATGCATATTTTTATATACATACATATATGTAAATATCGTCATTCGTAGCAACTTTTAAGAAATATTATCACAATATAAATGAACAAAAAATGCCTTAATATCTAAAGAAAAATCGCTAGATTTCCCGCTAATAGCTGAATCATATTTTCCACCGCAAAATGGGATTAAAAATCGCTAGATTTGACGAGAAAATAGCTAAATTGGCAACAGTGGTCATACGGATGGAATTTCATTTTACTTTTTCATTAGACTTGTCGTACGTAAAGTGTGACCGTGTGAAGGGCCCTTTACTAAACAAATATATGTTATTAACAGTGTTGCCACAAAAAAAAATTGTCTAACCAAAATTCGAACAAAAAATAACCAGATTAAGAAAAAAGTAACCAAAATTATTATGTTTACACTTGGATATGAACTTTAATGAAATAAAATTTTCTGAAATGGAGCTTTCATAGATGGTTGGGTGAATAATATGCCGATAATTTTTTAGATTTTTGTTCCTACAATACGTGCTTATGTTAAATTTAGTCGGCATACTGGTATATGAAGACAGTTATGAGCGTTAACACTCTATGACCGGGTAATAATTTTTCGTTGAATTTGAGAAAGTCATTTATTTTGATATTAATTTCGTATCTATGCACCTTAAATAACTAATAGCTATTTTCAAAAAATTGTCCACTTCCCGCAAGAGCAATGACGGGCCGCTAACTTCTTAAGAATCTCGTAATAAAATTTGGATTTTTACTTTTGTTTATTAAGGTTATAACAACATTCAAATGAAAATACATATTTTTAAGTGGATGTCGTGTGATATTTCTAAAAATAATTAAAAATATTCCTCAATTTGCAAATTTAAAATTTTATTACATATTAAAAACAAAACACAAAGCGTTGCCATATGGCAACACATGAATAAAGACTAAAAATCATCTTTATTAATAATAGCCTATCTAAACCAAGCCTTGAAAAAAATTTTAATTTTTTCTTTCATGCTAGTAAGTAGACTCTATACTGATTTTAAAACTGTAATTATTTTCTAACTTGATAATACAGATTTTTTCATGCCCATTTAAAGTTAGTAGTATCGATGCGTTGCCATATGGTAACGCCAGGAAATAACCCTTTATTGTGATTTTCTAAAGGGGACCTTTAGGCGTAGGGTCAGTTATGGACCGATTCTCATAAAATTTGACAGAGAGGTTTTAGTTCCTTGATTATGTTGGAGTTTTGTAGCAAATTATGACCTTCAAAGTAATTTTATGAAGGGACTTTTTATGGTGGATAAGATGAATTATATATGAGTCGAATCTCATAAACGTTCGCAAAAACATTTCGGCTTCAATAAAACTTCTTTATGTCAAATTTCATCGCTATACATACTTTTTTAATGAAATATATGTGTACATAAAATATGTACATATGTACATATATTTACATGGTTAATTACTAGAGATCAGAATATTTAGTTCAACTGTTTGCAAAAAATAATCAAAACTAAATAATAATTCACATATACACATGCAAAATAAAAATAACCAATTTTGGTTAATAATAACCGAAGTGGTAACACTGATTACAAATGTAGTATGTATGTATTTATATATTATAAATGAAGTATGTATGTATTGCATAAATCATGTGTATTTTTCTCAGTGTAATGTTAAATAAATGACAATAGATTTTAAATTTTATGCTCGGTTACACTTAGATCTAAAGTAGAAACCGTTTGCTGTAAACTCTTAATGAAACATTTTAATTTGATTTAATAATGCATTACATTTCGACGAATTTAAATAAAAGCAATTTTTGTGAATTTTTTTTAAGATTGCTGCAATTATTTCCTTCTTTCAATTATAATTTCAGTGCAATTTTCTTGAACGTAAAATTCGTAGATTCAAATTAAACTAAAGTGTGGCCGTTTTTTTTTAATATCGAGTATACCGTTATTTGAAAGAATGTCTTTTATAAATTTCATAAAATTTATAAGTTCCGTTAACATTTATATAGTTTACATGTTAAATTACTATCGTTTAACGAGCTTCTCTCTTTTACTGGTCGGTATATATATATCTCTACAAAATTTTTTAATGACCTTGTAAAATGCGACTGTAATACTTTTTTGTTTCTGATAATATTAGTTTAACAAATGATTGTCATACAATTTTATGCTACAATAATTAATATTTATGCCGTTCTCTCTTTCAGAACATTTATACTGATGACAGCTCACCAATGTCCACATCTGATGTTGAAAGTTTTACAGGCAAAATCGTTTGTAACATCGATGGCAGCTCATATATAATCGATGCAGAAAATGCAACATTATCGAGTTTAAACGATAATTCTTTAAGTGGTAAGTAATGTTGCATTTGATGTTTGTTTTTTATATATATTGTTGTTATCCTTTATTTTAACTTGTTTTAATTCATAAATAACTTTTGCAGTAATTAAATGTATTTGATATGGCAAAGCAATTTTACATAGTACAACTGATTAATTTTTTTTTTATTTTTGAGTGCAATAAACTGTACACATCGTGTTTAAGTCTTCCATATCGTTTTATTTTTTTATAAAAAAGTTTAAAGCCTTACAACTAAAATACTGTTGCTGAAATTAGCAAAAATACCGTTACCGATAATTTGTAATTATTTTAGCCTCAAATATTATACTCAAATCACAGAGTAAAATTTTTTTATTTATGTATTTCCAAAAATGTTGGTTCTGCCCACTGTGTTTTGTAAGCCAGAATTACCTTTAAAACACCCTTTTAGCTGAATACTTTTAGCACAAATATTTGTCTAAAATTTTATAATTACTATTCCTCCGAAATTTGTATTTTTCTAACGCAATAGTCCTTAAAGTAATTTAATATCCGTTTAGTTGCAGCTATATCTGTTACCAATGATAAAACTTCAACTTCAATTTTGCAAACAACGAAAACATCATCAAAATCTTGTATAAATTTAAATATAAGCGCGGAAAAAACACCAACATCATCGTCAGCAGTAGCAACATCATCATCAGCCGCGGTTAAGAGTTTTTCTTTATCGGGTAAAGAGGGTCAGGAGCAGGCGCAAAAGCAGCTTCAACAAACGATAAATCCTAAAATTCATACATTTCGTGTCGTGAGCGCAAATGATGCCAACATACAATTACGACAGGAAAATAATCTATTCAAAATACAAAAACCCATTTTAATGTGTTTTATTTGTAAACTTTCATTTGGCATAACCAAATCATTTAGTTTGCATGCAAACACCGAACACGGTTTAGATTTGCAAGACTTGGAAAAACACTTGTTAATGCAACGTGAATACTCGAGTGCCATCATACAAAGAAATATGGATGAAAATCCGCAAATATCGTTTTTGGAACCTGTCGATGTGGATGCTCCCCCGATGATTTCCGAGCACTCAGCGACCGAAGAATTCAGTGGCATGGAAACGCAGCTGGATAATGACACAACGAATACCCAGCAAACTGTAGGAGCTGCTTCGACCAGTGAGATCACCGCCACCACTTCTGCTTCAAACACCTCCTCTTTGTCATCAACTTCAAGCTCTAGCTCTTCATCATCATCTTCCTCTTCGCCACTGTCTCCCTGCTGTACGAACAACAGCACCACTACTACTACCAACACTATAACTACTTTAGCAATGAGTGATATGCCTCAAGTTGTTTCGTCAACTCACGATGACGGACAGAATTCGCAGTGTACATTTGACAGTACAATGCCAACATTGTTGAAATCTCAAGCCAGTGAATCGGCATCCACTACAACCACCACTACCACTACTTTAGGTTCCTTAAATTTAGATAAATCAAATACTAACAACTATAATATTAGTGATTTAGCCACGGATCATTTTACCATCTCTACAACTACGACTATGGCGACCTCCACTTACCCCTCCTCACTAGCAACAACATTATCTTTATCATCGACCACTTCAGCAGCAGCAACTGTAACATCACCAGGAGCAGCAGCAGCAACAATATTAACGTCATCTTCAACATTCACAAAAATACCAACACCACCACCTACATTAATATCCCTGAGAGCGGGGGTAGATTTATCTGCGTCTACCGGAAATTTAGCAACAGATGCTATTAGTACTGATAGTTTAGTAAATATTAATAAGTATAATGATAATTCCAACAACGATTCCATTGAACCTCAATCACAAGACATCACAAACACTACAACACATTCATCAAATCTAAGTCCAAAATCGCTTCATGTAACGCCTCACCAGTCCACAAATCTCAATACTAGCATAATGAGTGATTTCTTGCAACAGCATTTACAACGTCTCACAGCTGGCCGCGCAACGGCTGACGAAGATTCTCAACAGAAAAACCTCGAAAATGATAACATGAGCTGGTCTCAACCAACGGCGAATACATTTCCATTACCTGTAACAGCCTCAAATGCCTCAGTCGCTCAAATAAGTTCCTTACATGCCTCATTGGCCGCTTTAAATTCTGAACAAAATACTAGTAGTGTTAAGTTAATTAGTAAGTTCCTTCAACATCAACTAGTTGCTGCCCAGCAACAACAACAGCAACATCAAAAACAACTCACCTCTCATACGTTAAATCACGCCGAGGCGTATATAAATCCAGCAACTTCATCAACACCAAACACTTCCGCAATGCTTAATATCTGCCCAGACCACCCAGACTTTAAGGGTGTCGACTGTAAGACTTGTGAAATGTTAGAAGCCCATCAAACGTACAAACCATCGCCACAAGTAACTCCCCAACGTTCGCCCACCAATTCTGGTATTGCTGCTGCTGCTGCGGCAGCTGCAGCCGCGGCCGGTCTTGGTCTCCTATCGGCTGCCAATCAACTTTCCATGTCACCCAATCACTCGCTAAATGCCAATAATTTGCCACCAGGCCTCAATGTCTCGCTCAATACGCCACCTCTTAACAATCCCGGCAGTGCTGCCAGTTTTACTATTGGCGCTTGTTCAGATCATATCAACGGTCGTCCCTTAGGTGTCGAGTGTGCTCGGTAAGTTTAAAAAATGTATAATTAAGTCGTAGATATTTAACTAAATAAATATAGTAAAACTAAATTAAACGAATCATTTCTTATGGTTTTAATTTTTATTTGAGAAAATATTCTCGAGTCACACAACAAATTTGGGACATGTTTAACCGTCTTGTCTATACCCGAGGAAAATTACGTACATCAATACCCAACATACCCGGGTACGTCATACAATTTATATGGCTATTTCATCTTTTCATCTAGAAATGTATACTAGTGTATAAATCAGATAAATATTACAACTAATTTATTAAAACGCTTGTATAAATAAATTAAATACTTTTTGACCACATACCATTAAATTTAAGGATTATTTTTAAAGTTTTCTCATTGTTTTCTTAATTACAAAAATATCATATGCAAAAAAAAACCTAAAGAAAACGCCTACATAACGTATAATGTACATTATGCAGAATTTGGCTTTGTAAAATTTTGACTTCAAGAACCTATTACTCAGTGACCGGGAAAGATAATTGAACAATTTTTTTTCTATATTATTTAATAAGGTATACAAAATCAATTAATATTAAAGAAATTGTTTTTACTTTCGTTAGTAGGGATCTTTTTGCAAAAAAAAGATTGCAAAGTCATGGTTAAAATTTGAAAATTCAAACTTAAATATTTTTGTTTATATAAGAAGAAAATTATTATTATCGGTATAATTTTACTTTACTAAGTCATATACAATGAAAACATTTATTTCATCAAAATCGGTCCGTATTTGTAAATGTTACAGGGTCCATAAATATTTCACATTAAAATTTATGAACAATGACACACGACTCTGTATTTGAAACAAAATTTGTTGTTTAGCTCAATTTTTTTATAAGATACAAGTATATATATAATTCTAATAATAAAACATAAAATTTATAATGAAACTTAATTTTTGTCCGATAACTGACATATAATTTTTATATTGATGTACGAGGTAAAAATAGAAAATCGGTCATAAATCGGTTTAAAAAAATATATATCTAACTAATTTTTAGAACATTTATAGCAAACATTACTCTGAAAGCATAGTCTTAATTTCAAGTCTATACGATATATAGATCTCGAGATATATCACTTCAAAAATTAAAAACATACCCGGGTATGTGGGTATTGACATAACGGGCAATTTATAGATAAAAATGAAAAAACTGTGTATATGGCAACTAGGGTGTATAATTAGTGAGTTATAGACGTTTAAATGTTTTATGAAATTAAACTTAGAGTTAAATGAGATCTGATCATTATAAAAATATATAGTATGATTTAGGCGTACAAAAATTTTCGATTTTTTAAGAAAAATTATTAACATAATTAACATAATAATACCAAATTTTGTTAAATAATCATCAAAAATGGAAAACTTTTAATGGTGTTTATTTTACGCGGTTTACCTTTTCATGGAATTCCCATATGTATACAATAATTTTTGCTTGTGAATCTTTAAACTTCAATTATTAGGCAATGTAAAATTAGGTCCTGTTTTTGGTCATATTGCTGTTTAACAAAACAGCTAAAAGGCAAATAATTTGATTTAGTTGCCGGCTAACAACTTCTTTTGTTTGTCTCTCTATCAGGTTTATGTTCTTTCAATCTCGTTAACGAAAAGTCTTTCCTTTTATTTGTTTTTTTATCTATTGTTTAAAATGATTTTCGTTTAAAAACAGTAGCAACTAAGTCAAAAGCGTAATGAAATACATAATATTGGGAAGAAGATGTAAACATATAACACTGCCATAGAACATTACATACTGGCAAATATTTTCTTCAAAAAAAAAAAACAGTTGTTAAATGTTGAACATCATACATATTTTGAAACTCACTCGGCAAGAAGTGACGTATTTTGACTGAAAACCCCTCCAAGACAATACCAACATTTAAGAGCATGCTAGAGGAACGTTTTTTTGTTGTGGCTTAGAAAAATCCCAGTGGGATTTTAAATTTCATTTTCTTACCTCAACCCTTCTACATGTATTTACGCAATTCTCTAAATATAAAATAATTTTTATACATTTGTCTATGTTTCCTTCATCTACATACATATGTATGTAAGTACTATTGATGCCTTTGCATTCATGATTACAAATAAAAAAGGGGTTCTTTTTGATTGCCCAGCATAATGGTCGCTATTGATGAATTCACTCGTGCGTTAATCAAAGGTTTAATTAATGTTTGAACACAAAATTGTTCAAGAGTTTTAAAGAATTTTCCTCGATTAAATTTTATCAATAACAGAATATGAAATAAAAAAAGGCTTAATAAATGAAAAAAGGAGGGAAACAAAACTAAACTAATCAAAAAAGTACAATCCATAAAATCAATTGTATGTAGGTATGTTTGTACATAAACGCAAATAATTTACTATGCTTTATATACATATGTATGTACATATACATATGTGTACATTAGAGGTGTCCAAGAAATATCGATTTTGCTAAGATGGGTCGTATTTTGTTTATTAGTGTCTAAAACTAACTGGTGTTATTTAGCCCAATCGGATAACGGGAACCCGTGCCGGAAATCGATTGAAAAGTGTAAAATTGGGTAAATAAAAGAACTTTTTTGATTTCTTTAAAAATTGTAGCACTATATTTTCTTAACATTTCGATTTTATCTTTTAGAGAAAATTGTCTATCCAATGAGTTATAAAACATTTATGTCAAAGGATAAACAACTAAATTATTGGCATTTTCCCAAGCCACATATTAAAAAATCATGCATTTTTATACCCTACACCACCATAGTGGGAAGGGTATTATACGTTTGTGCTGATATTTGTAACGCACAATCGACTCAGTATCACGTTCTGAGTCGATTAAGCCATGTGCGTCCGTCTGGCCGTCCATGTGCGCAAGGTACAGGTCGCAATTTTCAAGATATTTTGATGAAATTTGGACCATACGACGAAGCCTATTGAAAATGGTTGAAATCGGTCCATTATTTCACCTAGCCCCCATACAATTATACCCCCCGAAAAGGGCTTTTGAGTTCATAATTATGTTAATTATTGTAGTATCTTTACAAAAATCGGCAAAACTTAGTTCTATATACATACGTCTTAATAATACTACCGATTTCGATTCGCTCCCATACAAAGTCCCCTTCAGAAAATGACTTGATGGTCAATAATTCATTAATAAACACTAGTATCGCGATGAAATCCAGCATACATAAATTTAATGTAAACGTAAAGCCATGTATCAAAATTTATAAGGATAGGCTCATATATACCCTTGCCCCCATATAACCCCTCTTTTAGAAAATCCCTTTTTCAACAAATAGTTAAAATATTTCGGAATTAAGGTAAATAACTTAAATGCTTTGTTATTAAAAATAATCCACATTTTTAACATACTCAGTGGTGTAGGGTATCATATGGTCGGCCATGCCCGACTATACTTTCCTACTTGTTTTTCATTGTCTATGTTTTGCAAGCAGAAGTGATGTAAACAAAAATATCTACATAAAAATTAAAATATAAATATGTAAAATATGAATTAATTAGTCGTTTTTGCTAAATATTTGTGAAAAGAAAATGCCTATAAGGTTGTTATTTCTCACTTGATATTAATATTTAAAATGTAAAAACATATAATTTTGATGACAAAATTTTTTAAGTAATTAAAGTCCAATTTTACACTTTTCAATCGATTTCAGGCACGGGTTATCCGATTGCACTAAAATTTAACACCAGTTAGTTTTAGACACTAATAAACAAAATAAGACCCATCTGAGCAAAATCGATATTTTTTGGACATCTCTAATCTACGCAATTATTAATTTTCATATTCAATAATCAAATTTGGTGGGTATGTTGTAATTAAAATTTATAAAATTTTGATATCAATGCAGAAATGGGAAAAAGTTTTCCTATACACCCCTAATGAGAGTTCGATAGTTATTTTTCTAAATGTAGAGATGTTTTTAATCATACAATCATGTTTTTACGGGGTTAAATATGACAACAGCTGTCTGTTAAGTATTTTATTTAAAATTTCTGAATGGCTTCATTTTTATGGTCAAGTGGATAAATTAACATTTCAAAGAAGTATACGAAATCATCATAGTGGGTATGAATTACTATTAACATAAAGACGTTTTTTTATTTTGTTGAAAAGATTTTCCTTTTCAACTGTATTTGATACATAAGTATTTCTCTTGCTAACAAATTCCTTCATGTCTGCTGATTTTGTACGCACGTTTTAGGATTTTAATTTTATTTGAAAAGCTTTTTAAAGTCTTTTTTATTATTTTTTATTTTCTAATTACTCTAAGTTTAATACATAATTTTGCTTTTCTACATTTTCAATTTCAGATGCGAAATGATTTTAAACTCTGCACGTCTTAATAGCAACGTGCAAATGTCTACTCGGAATTCTTGCAAAACCCTTAAATGTCCACAATGCAATTGGCACTACAAATACCAAGAGACTTTAGAAATTCACATGCGTGAAAAACATCCAGATGGAGAATCAGCGTGTGGTTATTGTTTAGCAGGTATGTATTTAAGAATATTTTTATACTCATCATCAGAAAAAATCTTTCTACCAAATTTTATGAGGATCGGTCCATAATCGACCCTGCCCCCTTTCAGAAAACCACTTCAACGATCCTTGCTAACTTAAAAATACGAGTACAGCGATAAAATTCGAAATATATAAGTGAAAATCTCTTTACCAAATTTTATCGGAATCGGTCCTTAATTGACCCTACCTCCATATAAGGTCCCCTTCAGATAATGACTTTATCGCTTATTACTGACTTAAAAATACGAGTACTGCGATGAAATTCGACATAATTAAGTTTTATATGCATCAAAATTTCTCTAACAAATTTTATGTGGATCGGTCCATAATACAACCTACCCCCCACATAAAGTCCCTATCAAAAAATTATTTAAACGCTCATTACTGACTTATAAATACGAGTATAGCGGAGAAATTCGACATAAGAAACTACTATAGAAACGTAATCTTCCTCCCGTATTTAATGCGGAATGGGTCGGTAACTCACCCTACCTCCAATTAAGGTCCCCTAAAATATATGAGTACAGCGATGAATTTTGACCAAAAATAGGTTTCATACAAGCTAAAATGTCTCTATAATTTGCGGATTGCTTCATAATTGAACCTACCCCACTCAAGGTCCCCTTCAAAAAATGATTTTAACGCTCATTACTGGCTTAAAAATAAGACTATATGGAGGAAATTCCACATAAGAAACTTTTATAGGAACGTAATCTTCCTACCTATTTCCATGCAGAATGGGTCGGTTACTCACCCTAACCCCCATATAAGGCCTACAGAAAACTACTCTAATTACTGGCTTAAAAATACGAATGTAATAATGAAACTCGACAGAAATATGTTTTATATAAGCCAATATCTCTTTACCAAATTTGTAAGGATCGGTCCATAATTGATCCTACCCCCATATAAGGTCCCCTTGAGAAATTTACTTTACCGCTAATTACTGTCTTAAAAAAACATAAATTTTGACATAAACTGGTTTTGTATTAATGAAAATCACATTACAAAATTTTATGAGGATAGGTCCACAATTGAACCTTCCCCTCATATATAAAGCCACCATGAGAAAATTACGAGTACTTCATCGTTGTACTCGCCATAAAAAGTTGTTTATTATAATTCTTCATTCCGAATTTTATGAGGATTGGTCTAGCTGACCATAGCATAACAAAATCTACGTACAAAATTTTACGGGTATCTATTCATAATTATCCCTACACTCATATAATTTCCGCTTCCGATAAATTACTTTTATAATTATGACTGAATTAAAAATACGAGAACAGCAATGAAATTCGAAACGAATAAGTGCTATACGACTCGAAATCTTTCTAACAAATTTTACGACAAACAGTCCATAAATTACCCTACCTCCCATATATGTTCATAGTTAAAAAATTGGACAAAAATATTTTTCTCAATTAATATTTTGTTAATTCGAAGATCACGTACATAATTGACTTAAGCATGATCTCCTAATGCTTATATACGAGCATTGCTTTTACAGCATACGATTTGATGCTGGGTATAAAAGATTCGGCATTGCCGAACACAACACTCTTGTTAAATATTAAATTTTTTTTGAAACATTTCGATAAATGAAAGAAAAGGCATGGTTGGGACATTTAAAATCATAATATGTAATATATATTATTCCGTTCTGAATACTAAATAGTCATTATAAATGCATAATATGAAATTTCACACCAAATAATCCGACACCAGTGACACACTTCCACATTCATACTTTGTGTATGGACAGACAGATGGATGAACCGACTGTTGATACGTTTATCATAGACTCATGTTTGTTCAGACACATTCATACCCACATGAAAAATCATCACTGATATGTATCATAATTAGAGTTGAACTAATTGTAACAACAGCCAACATTTGACATTTACCCCTTTTTATTTATTCCAAATCAAAATGCCTACTTCTAATAACGACATCATTACACTCATTTAGATTTACATGGACATCATTATCAGCATCAGCATGAATAATTTCCTTCATTAGGGTTTTGGGTGTACATGCCCACAAAATATTAATAACGATGATGATAATTTCACAATAGAAATTGTTTAAACATGCAAATATGTTTTCTATTCAATATGTTCAATCTTCATTACGACTATACTTTCCTTCCATCCATATCATATTGCAGTTACAATCATAACATTGTACACACATTTGAATTAGTTTTTTTTTTTGTAAAAAAAAAGTTTAAAATATAAATATGGAAATGGGTTTGCTTTTGTATGTTTCGTTTGAAATCGTACAATCTGAATTAGTTTGAATTTTTTGTGTTAATTTAAATATTCATGAACCAGGAGGCAGGCACAGATGTGAGGAGCACAGGCACAACACGTTTTAACAAAAATTACAACCCTAAAAATGCAGATATTTCTCCTTTTAAATTTTAACACTTTTTAATTGTTGATTGGGTTGATGAATTTGTAATTAAATGGATTAATATTCAGTGTATTACGTGCTAAACTTTTGATGAGTTTCCTCTCAATTCAAGGCATTCCAAATCATTAGAGTTCATTAAATATTTTATAAATTACACGTATATTGTTATTTTTCGTTTTTAAATACAAATTCTCTGAACTTAATAAAATTCTACTAAAACTTTCATAAATTAAGAAAAACAACATATATGTACAATGTACATTGTACATATGTACATACTAACAGTTAGCATAGTGACACTAATTAATAAAAATATGTAAATTATATCACAGGGGTACGGGATTCACGTGTTATTTGTATACCCACCATTCGTTGCCCAGTAAAAACTTAACTCCCAAAGTAAGTAAAATTCGAAGGAAAGACTACTTCCTTTTCTACTACAAAGAGTATTTATTTTTGTTCGTGATGTCTCAAAAGAAATCCTTTATTTTTTGGCTGCTAATAAGTTGTTTTGTAAGTTGAGTTATTTATAGAACAACCCAGGAAAAACTTACATTGAAAAGTAATGAGTTAAATAGCTAATAAAACCTCTTTTCACTACTTCTTCATTAGCATTTTAAGTCATTATTTTAACACGGTGATGTCATTGGAGGCAAGTACTTCTACGCATGCTTACAAATAGGGACTTAAAGAAGTACTTGCAATTTCTCTTACAAAACAGTTGTTGAGTAAGTTGTTTTGTTTTTTAATAATAAAAAGAGCCAGCTAGAATACGAACCAGGGGCTTCGGTTTGTTAGTCAAATGTTCTACACACTGCACCACTGCTTAGCTATTTTATTGCGCGTCAAATAATGGTTTTCACAAACAAAACTATTTTTTTTTTATTTTTTTAAAACACAATTCTTAAAACGCAATTAAATAAAATGTGCAAACAAAATGACAAAGCCGAAAATAAAGTACTTCTATATCAGATTATAAGAAAGTCATTACTAGAGTACTTCTATGTAATGCAGACGGTAAGTAATAGTCATTGAAAAGTAAGTGGTTATGGAAGTACAACCCATTACCGAGTTTTTGCTGGGAATTTATAAAAAATTAAAAAATAAAAAGTCGACATAGACAGCCACCGCTTAGCTGCCTTATAGTGCGTTAAATAATGGTTTTCTTTTCTGTTTATCTAAAAATAGACATTTGCTAACGCGTAATAAAAAAATGAAACAAATTAAGAAAAAGTAACTGCTTTATTTTTTTGTTTGTGTAATTTTTTAGATTTTACTTACAAAGTAAGTCATTAAAAAAGTAGTTCATAGTCGCCTAGTAATAAAAGTTTTTCCTGGGTAGTAATACATCGTCAATTCGTTTGATAATATTAGTCTGGTTTTGACGGTGTAAAGAGTAATAACTATGGACTGTTAAGTTTGGTGAACATCGGGTTATTTACAGTACTAGCCTCCATATAAGATTCCCTCGCTGTCATTCTTATTTACTTTAAAAATCCTCTGATAATTGACCAATATTTGTTTATCGGACGTAATAATGGTTATTTTTAATGATTATTTTCCTTTAGCAAAAAGTCGAATTTTTTGTTCATTTTAACTCCTTTATTTCAAAGATCATTTAATTGTGTCTCTGGAATAATGACAAATGGATAGATCTGGAAAAAATAACGGTCTTGTACTGTGAAATCATACAAATGGTAACATCCGATTTTCGAAACATTCTTCTCCATGGATTTCGACATTGATTTTACCACTTGTAAAATCAAATTATGATTTTAGAATACAAGAACAAATTGCTGCATTAACAAGGTCCTTTATTGGAAATTTGGTCTTTCTTTTATATTTATAATGTGGACAAATGCTACATAATATTTTTAATAATTTTTCCTATCATGGAACGTTAACGTTTTTTATTACCAAACGTATAGAAGCACCTTAATTTTTATTATATCCGTGCAAAATAAATTTTCTCCGAATAAGCTCTGAAGCCAATTTTTTCAAAACCAAATTAACAGTTAAAAATTGGAATTATTGGAATAAAATTAGGAGGCTATAGGCTATTTAAATCCAAAATTTTATATTGATTGGACAATTAGTTTTGTAGATATCAACGATTAAAAATTGTTCGATTTTGGTTGGTTCAACTGTAATTGCCAAAATACACATTTTCGAGAAGTGACAGATTTAATGTAATGATTTTTTCTTTTAAAACTACTATTAATATTTGAAACATTTTATTAATGGTCAGTTCACAAAGAACCCTAAATTTTTAATATTGATTAGTGAAATTTCAAATATGTAGAATTAACGAAATTGCTATTCAAATTAAACAGAAAACGAAATAAAATAATTAAATCAGAACTATTTGATTTAATTATTTTTTTTCTTCAGTAACATATAACATATGTATGGATATTCTTTCAATTTTTTTATAGGACAACAACATCCACGCCTAGCACGCGGCGAATCATATTCGTGTGGCTATAAACCTTATCGCTGCGAAATTTGTAATTACTCCACCACTACCAAGGGTAATCTCTCAATACATATGCAGTCCGACAAACATTTAAATAATATGCAAGAGTTAAATAGCTCACAAAACATGGTGGCAGCAGCTGTGGCAGTTGCCACCGGTGGTGTGGGGAAATTGGATGCAACACCAAAGATCAATTTAGCAACAACAATGGGCAGCTTAGCTTCACAGCAGCAACAACAGCAACAACAAACGCAACATACTCACAGTAATGCTAGCAACAGTAGCAGTATTGGTTGTAGTTTGTCAGCAACGTCTAGTTGCGGTACCTTATCGACTAGTTTGCAAGCGGGTAATGGGAGTGGTGGCGTATTAGGTAGCAGTTCAAATAAACCGAAGCCCTCATTTCGTTGTGATATTTGCAGTTATGAGACATCGGTGGCGCGAAATTTACGCATTCACATGACTAGTGAGAAACACACGCACAACATGGCCGTTTTGCAAAACAACATCAAACACATACAGGCTTTGACATTCTTACAACAGCAGCAGCAACAACAGCAATCCCAACAACAACAGGGTAATAACTTTATGCCTGAAGTAGCTCTGGCAGATTTGGCCTATAATCAGGCTCTTATGATACAATTGTTACACCAAAACGCAGCTGCCGCCGCAGCACAGGCCCAAACCCAACAGCCAGTACACAGTCCTCTACCTGTAAGCTCGCCAGCTTTATTGCCTTCTAACAAATCAGGCATTAAATCCCAGGCAACCTCTCCACCCGCCTCAAGTGAAATGACGCCAACATCACCCTATTCACCAAAATCAAATGATTTAAGCTCGTCTGATCTGGTCACTAGTAACATGGAGCCTCCCATCAAACCGGACTTGTGGCCGACGACTTTATTCAGTTGTCTGGTGTGCAGTAACTTTAATACAAACAGTCTGGATGAACTTAATCAACATTTGATGATAGACCGTTCAAGACAAACGACTCCATCCGCTTGCTCAACGAGATCGATGTCACCAACACACTCGAGTACTAGCTTGTCGGGCTCAGCCTACTTTTCCGACATTATGATCTTTCAAAATAACAATTACATTTGTCGTCTGTGCAACTACAAAACAAACCTTAAAGCCAACTATCAGTTGCATAGCAAGACGGACAAACATTTGCAGAAACTAAACTTTATAAATCATTTGCGTGAAGGAGGAACTGACAATGAATACAAGTTGAAATACTATCAACAGCAGCAGCAACAAATTGGTTCCAATACTGTGCAAATCAAATGTAATTCTTGCGATTTCTACACAAATTCCATACAAAAGTTGTCGCTGCATACGCAGCATATGCGTCACGAAACCATGATCATGATATTTCAACACTTGAATTACTTGGTTCAACAGCAGCAGCAACAACAGGAACATACTAGTAGTAGTAGCTGTGGTGCTACTGATGACTCCTCTACAAACCCTAACAGTGAAACGACGCCACTAAGTCTGGTAGATGCTAATACACCAACATCAACAGCTACATCGTCATTATTATTATCTTCATCGTCATCATCATCATTAGCAGCATCAGTCGCAGCCAAACCAGCATCAGCAGCTATTACCTGCAACAAGTCTCTGCTTTGTCATCTGTGCAACTTTAAAGCCAATTCATTGCTCGAAATGATACAGCATGTGAAGAGTATACGTCATTTGCAAGTTGAACAATTTGTTTGCTTGCAAAGACGTAGCGAACAACTGGAGACACCCAGCCTTGATGATGTCTTCAAGTTGTGCAATAAATCTCAACGCAATAACGATTCAACAACACCAAGTTCAACCCCAACTCATACGTCTAACATAATCGATAATAAGACGTCATCGGCTTGTTTTGCCAATTTGATTGAATCAGAAAATGAAGGTAAGTCGAATTATATAGGTAGATCTATAGATCCAGAAGTCATTAAAATTTATTGTGTGTGAGTAATTGTATGGTATGCGTTTCATAAAAAACAATTTTTTATTATTATTTTACATATTTAAGTTTTGTAAATATTGTAGAAACGATAACAATGTAAATAGGTAATACTGAATGACACTAGTAGTTAGCATATCCTTAAGTTGAATACAAATGACAGAAACTTTGATGTATTCTGTTGCCTGTGAACTTTAATTCACATGATGAACAGTAGAGTGGGTCGGTCTCTATGGACAAAAAAAAGTTGTGTCAGTCACCCCTAGGATTAAAGATATGTCAATGACCGCCTTTTTGTTTTTTATATATTACGTCGTCATTTTAAATCCGATCGTAACATATGATATATCAGTGTTTATGGCTACATTTCATCCTTAGACAATTTTTGAATTAGACGAAATATTCTTTGCCCTACTTCTGATATCTCGGATCCTTCCCCAAAATCTGAAATTGTGGCTATACAGAAATAAAGAGCATTTAATTATATGAAATATTGGCTTTTGAAATGCTCACTTTTATGCATAAACAGCTATTTTATAAATATTTAAAAATTTTCAAATATTCGTTATCAACCGTACTCACAACAAACAATTAATTTGCCAGGAAAAACAGTCGAAAAAAAATTTTTTTTTTTTTGAAAATTAATTATAAAACAGAAATCCTTGTTATTTTTTTTCAGTTAAAAACCATTTCAGATCCTACTTCCTATCAAAAAAGAAGAAAGAAGTATCCTACATCACTATAGTGGTTTAGCTATATCCGTCCGACGTCGTAATTTAATGAAAATAAGCTCATATGTTTCATTTTACCCAAGGACGAAGTTGTTTGAAAATGGATTAAATCGGTCCATTTTTCCCCTATCCCTTAAATTTTGCGCTAACAACCCTGACATGTGAATATTTGAATCTAGAATCGTAAAATTTTGCACAAAGAATTTTCACATTCATGTGAACATGGGAGGTACCATACCCCTATTGTGGACTATCAAAAGGGGCTATGGTACCTCCCATATGGATTAAAATAAAAATTCGTATAACTGGGTAACTAACAGAACTAGAATCTTCAAAAATCATAAAGTGCGGTTTTTATTTATACTGTTTTTAGGGTAGCAAAGCACACTGGGTATAGCTAGTATTTTTATAAAACTTAGTATAATTTTTCCTCGATTTTTATAAAATTTATATAATGTTTAGCTTTTATGTACCTACGTGATTTATTAATTAATTAAATTAAATTATGAATATAATGATATTTCTTGTGTTAGGATGCAATTTTTGTATTGTAAGTTAATTTGAAAAAAATTGTTTTCAACCATATCCCTAGCAAATTAACTGTTTGTAGTTAGAACTATACAGGAAGTTTTAAATACCTGTAAAATAGCTATTTATGCATAAAAGTGAGCATTTTATAAGCTAATATTATATATAATTAAATGTGCGCATAGAATATGACGTCGAATTAAAAAATTGTCTAAGAATGAAACATAGCTACATTCAAGCCATAAATATTGAGATGTAATATATAAATATATATTGTTACGATCGAACTTAAAATGGCGACGTAATATATAAAAAAACTAAAAGGGCGGTATTTCTAGACGTGGCAAAAAATATTTTTTATAGTTTTGGAAATGTTATTATGACTGACTCAATTTTTTTGGACCCACCCTAATGTACAGTGAATTGAATTTGTTATTCAGACTTTAAAATTAAGTTTGATATAATTTTTGTTGTTTTCAAAAGTAATTAAAATTTCTCATTTTAGTATATTTTGCTCAGATTTTTAAAATTTCGAACTATTTATATGCATACACAAACATACTTGTATGTATATGTGTCTACATGCTTATATGAAAAGTACAACGTTACCGACAAAAACAAACTACAATATAGATATTGTTTGAATATTTGGAAAAAGTTATTTATAATTATACCCTTCACCTTCGTGAGAAGGGTATATATAAGTTTGTCATTCCGTTTGTAATTTCTATAATATAATTTTCCGACCCTATAAAGTATATATATATTCTGGATCCTTATAGATAGCGGAGTCGATTAAGCCATGTCCGTCTGTCCGTCTGTCTGTCTGTCTGTGTGTATGTTGAAATCAGTTTTCAGAAGACCCCAGATATCTGCGAGATCCGAATTTTCAATAATTCTATCGGAAATACGGTCGAATAGAACGCTATTTAAAATCAGCCCAATCGGCCCATAAATAACGAAGATATGAGTAGAAATCCGAGACCACCTCTGAAAATTTCATCAAAAATTTACTTTTTTTGTGCATGCTTATGCAAAACAATAAACAAACAAAAACGAAACGCAGTATCAAACGGTAAATTTTTTTTGTTATTTGTTATTGTAATTCTTGTTTATAAACACAAAGCAAAGAAGGAACATCACTTTACGTTGTTATTGGCTAGAAACATGAAATTAAATATGTAGAGCCTGGATTAGGCGAGAACACATTAAAGGGCACTTTTTTGTACTTTTTCGTTCTACAAAAAGTACTTTTTGAATTTTCTATAATATTGAACATAGAAACATGAAATTTAGCATGTAGGACCTTGACTATAAAAAGAGATTTTTTGGTACTTTTTCGTTATACAAAAGGTACTCTTTGAATTTTCTATAATATTGAACCTAGAAACATGGTATTAAATATGTAGAGCCCGGATTAAGCCAGAGTACATAAAAGGGGACTTTTTGGTACTTTTTCGTTCAACAAAAGGTACTTTTTGAATTTTCTATAATATTGAACCTAGAAACATGAAATTAAGTATGTAGAGCCCGGATTAGGCCAGAACACATAAAAGTGGACTTTTTGGTACTTTTTCGTTCTCCAAAGGGTACTTTTTGAATTTTCTATAAAATTGTACCTAGAAACATGAAATTTAACATGTAGGGCCTTGACTAGGTAAGAACCTATTAAAGGGGACTTTTTGGTACTTTTTCGTTCTACAAAAGGTACTTTTTGAATTTTCTATAATATTGAACCTAGAAACATGAAATTAAGTATGTAGAGCCCGGATTAGGCCAGAACACATAAAAGGGGCCTTTTTGGTACTTTTTCGTTCTACAAAAGGTACTTTTTGAATTTTCTATAATATTGAACCTAGAAACATGAAATTTAGCATGTAGGGCCTGGACTAGGTAAGAACCTATAAAAGGGGACTTTTTGGTACTTTTTCGTTCTACAAATTTCTATAATATTGATCCTAGAAATACGAAATTAAGCATGAAGAGCCCGGATTAAGTTAGAACGTATATAATGGGATACAATTGGTATTTTTTGATTTTTTTTGTAATAAAATTCGTACTGACTGTTTTTTAACACATCATGGTGAAGGGTATATAAGATTCGGCACAGCCGAATATAGTACTCTTACTTGTTCCAATATAAGATTGGTGTATTTTAAGTTATTAACAGTTTAACATTTCGCTCATTTACTATAAGATTGGCATAATCCAAAAAAGTAATTTCGAGAAAAATGGGTTTGAATGTTTAACGACATTTAAACATAAATAATTTTTAAACAAATCACGGGATTTTAATCGAGCCAGATTCAGTTAGTAGAGTTAATAAGTTTCTCTTCTTACTTGAAATTAAATTTTTATTTAGGGTAGAAGGGGGATCATTCGCCATAGGGGCACATCTGCCAAAGCGAATAACTTGAAAACCGAGTAAACGATTTTATCGCATTATCAAATTTTATTTATTATACTTTGTTTAGTGAATTAAAATATTAACCAGCAAAATAAGTTTTTATTTTTTATTTTTTTTTGGCTTATTTTACTAATGACAAATCTGCCCCATCCCGTTGGCGTATTTACCCCATGGATGGGGCGGTATCGCCGTTTTTGGTCAGTGCGGAAAAGTTAAAAAAATATGTGCATGAGGATGACTTAGGAAAGATTGAAAGGGATAAAACTAAAGCCAACATATCTAAGTATCTGAACCAAGACAAAAATTAAGAATATGTACTGTGGTTTTAATTTGAGGCCGCCTCAAAAAAAAGTGGCGTATAGTCCCCCTTCTACCCTATCTAATATGACTTAGTTTTGCCGTTTACAACAAAAAGTCGATCTCACACCTAAAGTAATTGACGTAATTGAAATTTGATAAATCTATATTTTTTGGACATTCTCAGTTCAAAACCCCCGATTTTTGGATTATGTCAATCTTGTAGTAAATGAGGGACATATTAATAAAACTCTTAAAATAACATATTTCAAATCTTATCAGATGGTTTTGTTCCTTGAATTCGCATACTGTTTTTTATGTTTATAACATGCAATGTATTTATTTCCTAGAACTTCTCAGGATATATCGCAGAATTTATCAATGATTTTTTATAAATAGAGAACTTATTGCACCGATTCCGAAGCTATGAAAATGAGTTAATTAGTTTCCCTTAAGTTATGGGATATTCTGGGTAAAATTAAATGAATTCTTTGGGTTTTCAATGACATTAATTATATTCATTCTGTGACGTGCCTCTACTTTCATATAGTAAATAAAAAACTTATGATTTGGACTTTGTTACAATGAAATGCTCTTAAACATTTTCTGGAATAAAATGATTATAAATAAAACATTTTTCGAAAGAAGATATTCTAAAATAAATATGTGTAGTTTCTTCTCATAACTCGTACTTTGGTATTAATTGATCATACAAATTCTGGAATTCTTCGTTAAGCTTAAAACGTGGTTAAAGATTTTTATTTTCTTTAAGAAAAGGTTTCGTTTTTCTTTTTGTCATCCAATTTACAATACAAAAAAATATAAAAAAAAGAAAAGTGATTCTTCTAACAATGCGCATATTTATATGGTTCTGGTGAACACAAAAGGTAACAAAACAAATAAATGTGACTATTCGGCTGTGCCGAATCTTTTATACACTTCAATATACAGATTGTTGGCTTCGAAGAACTATTACTATATTG